CCGACCAATCGGCAGCAACCAAACTTTTACAAAACACAAGCCCAGTGGAGAAATTAAATTGACCAACCAGCCAACCACCAACCAACAAATCATTCAACCAGCCAATCAGAAATAAGCGAGTCAACTTTTTTACCAATCACAAGCTTCAATTAACCAAAATCAAGTTAACCAATTAATCAGCAACAAGCCAGCCAATTAGAAACAGACCAACTAACCTTTCCACCAATCACAAGACCAGCTGAAAAATCATGGTACTTGCCAACTTTTCTGAGTACTTCAAAAATTTGGTATGCAAGTTCTCGGGTAGGGGTAAGTACGAGCGCACCCACACCATCTATACTACTCCATTTTAATTTGAATAATTTTTCTAGAATCTTTTGAGGAAAAAAAACAAAAATGTTTACAATTTTGAATCATGATTTCTATTAATTATTTTATAATTTGGGATCATAATTTCAAGCCCTAATTTACTAACGGGAATGATGAAAGCCAGGGTTTTTCCTGACCCCGTCTTGGCAGCCCCCAATATGTCTTCCCCCTTCAACGAAGGAATCAGAGATTTGCTCTGTATCACAGTCGGTACTTTGTACTTACATAACTCCAAACCTAAATTAAAATAATTAAATTAAAAAAATATGGTTATAACATTTATAATATAGATTAACATAAGTAATAATAATATTGTGTCTGTGAATAAAATAAATAAATGGATAAATTTTGACCTGTATGTATGTGTGTCTGTATGTGTATGTCTAATTGTGTATGTGTATGTCTGATTATATGTATGTGTGTGTGTTTAATAATGTTTATTTACTTATATTGTAAACAATTATTTAGAAATAATAAAATAAATAATTAATAAATATAATAATAGTTTTATAGCCATAACAACTACAACCTTTCTGCGTTTTTTCAGTTAGAGGAAAGTCTCTAAACTTGTTAGCCTCTCTGGGATCAAACTTTTATTAAAAATAATAATAATTGAAAAACGAATAAAATAAATTAATAATTAAAATATTTATTTAAATTAATAGAAATTAATTTAAATTAAATAATTAATGAATAACAAAGCCATTAAAAATGACATGGTCAGGGTATGCGAGATTATTTATGATGTTTTTTGTATTTCTATTATTAGATTTTTGGACCAGCTAAAAATTTTTGTGGTCTCAGCTAAAAAAAAGCTAAGTACCAAGCTAATTACACTAACGACTCACTAACCTTTTCCAGCTTGGACTGGATCATTTTCAGCTCTTCATCAGCCACTTCGGAAGATTTTTTCTTAACGCCGAATTTTTTTCTCGTATCAAACATTTTACGTTTTTTATTTTTTACTGAACTCATTTTTTAGTTTATTTATATAATTAACTGAATAAGCAAAATTATTTTAGTTTTTTAACAATTAAATAAACAACATGTGAAACAAATTATCGCTTGCAAAAAAATAACAATAATATTGGTTAAACTCGGATTTATTTTTCTTTGGTCATTGAGTTTGAGGATTGAAGAGTAAAAAATTGAACTTACGCCAGTGTTTGTGTAAATTTATTAATGAAAAAACTTAATAAATTATTTAATTGCGTTTATTATGAAGTATTTTAACTTTAAAATTTTGTCACACAAACACAAATTCACATATATATGTACAAATACACATATATACATATTGATCAATCAGTTAATAAGTTTGTAAAGCGCTCTTTCCGCGATGTTCAACAGCGCTCCTCAGTGAATTCTGCAAGCAGATGGGTCTTGAGATCCGCTCTGAACTTCGTAAGTGATGGAGAAGTAGTCAGAGAAGGAGGTAGAGAGTTCCAGAGAAAAGCAAATGCAGATTTAGCAAAAGAGTGTTTAACACGAGTTAGGAAGAAGTGAGAACAAGAAGACGATCGTAAAACGTTCACTTATTGGCGTACTCTACACGTAGGCGACCTTACGTTAAGTTCTTTCATCCTTAAACAGAGATTTATTTGGCGTTGACTCGCTTATCTATATTAGTTAGAGGTGATCATATGAACGGGAATCGCGAGAATCCCATGGTTCCAATGGAATTCCTATAGAAATTAGTAGAATTTAATTTTCAGGAATGAGAATTTTAGGGAATCGGGAATGACGGGCGGGAATGGGAAATGGGAAGAAATTGGGAACAAATTTCAATTCCCGATCACGTTTATTATTATATGGACATAATCAGTTGTTGAGTGCCATCTCAGTCTCTTTCGCTCGCTCGCTCTCTCCCTCCCTCTCTCTCTCTCTCTCTCTCTCTCTCTCTCTTTCTCTCTCTCTCTACCTATCTATCTATCTATCTCCTGATTGATGGAAAGTAAATAATAAAAGACCAGCCAATAGTTTATTTTTTTTACCAACAAATTCAGTTTAAAGCAATTTTTTATAAATAATTAACTTTTAAAATCGTAAAACATCACAATATACAAATAGGCACGCACACACACACACACGCACACACACACTCACGCACAAATACATACACACATGCATGCATGCATAAATACATACATACATACACACATGCATGCATGCATAAATACATACATACATACATACATACATACATACATACATACATACATACATACATACATACATACATACATACATACATACATACATACATACATACATACATACATACATACATACATACATACATACATACATACATACATACATACATACATACATACATACATGCATACATACATACATACATACATACATACATACATACATACATACATGCATACATACATACATACATACATACATACATACATACATATATACATATATACATGCTTACATATATACATACATACATACGTACATACGTACGTACCTACATGTTAATCCATTTTTTACTTGATGTTTGACAGTTCAGTGTCATTCATCATGTTTTGGTTTTAACATACATACAAACAAACATACATACATAATTAAAATACAAAATTTGTTCCAGAGAAAATGAAATTTTGCTATGGCGTAGAAGTGGAAGAAGATTATGAATCAGATAAAAAAAACTAAGAAAAAAACACTCGAGAACTTCCCGCTTTTCATTGCGTCACGAAAGCGTCACCAGAAGTTTATTATTTATGTTTATTTTTTCTACAAGTTTGGGCAAAATGAATTATGTATATGTATGTATGTAAAGATCGGGACAATGTTCATTGCTGTTGTAATAGTAGTATAGTAATGAGAGAAGTAGTAGTGGTAAAAGCGGACGTAGTAGTAGTAGTAGTATTGTTTTCATGGCAGTAGTAGTAATTGCTGTTGTTGAAGTGGCTACATTGGCAGTGGCAGCTGTAGTTGTAGTAGTAGTAGTAGTAGTAATAGTAGTAGTAGTAGTAGTAGTAGTAGTAGAAGTAGTTTAATTGTAGTAGTAGTAGTAGTTGTAGTAGTAGTAGTAGTATTAGTAGTAGTAGAAGTAGTTGTAGTAGTTGTAGTAGAAGTAGTAGTAGTAGTAGTAGAAGTAGTAGCTATAATAGTAGTGTATTAATAATAGTAATTTTATTAATAGTAGTAATTTATTTCAGCTGCAACATCTGTAAAAACATGATGCAAAGGCGAGAGAAACCAACTGTAAAGAGGGTTTTTTATACAGAGTGCGAGGGGAGGCATTCTATGTAAAATTCTATGGCGGTTTTATTGAGTCGTTTCAATTGTTGATTGTTGTTGTTTATTATTATTTATTATTATTATTTTCCGTAGTTTGTGTTAGAGTTTTTTTTGTTGTTATTGATGTGGTTATTGTTGTTATTAATGTTATTGTTGTTGTTGTTACTTCTTTTAATAGTGCTTTTGTGCGAGATATTAACGATGTGACGATTTTAAAGCTGGTTTATGTTGATTGTTTGCTTGTGGATGATGCTGATGGTGTTATTGTTATTGTGGTTGCTGATGTTGTTGTTGCTGCTGCTGCCACTGCTGTTTTTGTTAATGTTGATGTTGTTGATGTTGATGCTGTTGTTGATGTTGTTGTTGAGGATGTGAAAATTGTTGATAATTTCAACTGTGAAGGTTTTGAAATCGTGTCGTCGAAACTGTCATCATCATCATCATTATCATCATTGTTATTATTAATAACGTTATTATTATTATTATTATTGTTATTGTTACTATTATTATTGTTATTATTATTGTTGTTGAGATCATTTTTGTCCTCATTCCATCTCTCTGACGAAACTTGTTTATATTTCGTCACAGCATTACATTTTCGGCCCTCGACAAACTCGTCCATAATACTCTCTTCCTTATAGGCACGACCCCCGCCACAGGCTCGAACATTATTGTGAACATCGCTCCTATGGTCTCCGTTAACCAATATTGAATTACTCAACTCGACTCGGTTTGTCGGTTTTATCGGTAAACAGACAACCGTTTCTTTGAATGCGATCCTGAAATCTTTCGAGGCGCAATTGTATATGATGGGATTGACGCATGAATTCGCGTAGGCCAGACAATACCAGAGAAACGTTAAAACTCGATAAAAATCGCTAGTCGATATTTTGCCAAAGTAGGCCACCAGGAGGTGAATGTGGATCGGCAGCCAGAAAGCAGCGAACAATACCACGACGAATATCAACAACCTTCCGATTTGTCTCTTGCGCCGAGCTGAGCGCATTTTACGCAGAGCTGCAGCGTGAGTTGTCGGTCGATTTCTCGCCATCTGCCTGGCAATCCCAATCGAAAGAAACGCGATAATGATGAGTGGCAGCAGATAAGCCAGCAGGAAGAAGAGGGCGTACATTGGTTTACCGTTATTTCCATCGTAAAGATCGCAACTAATCATTTCTGGCGTTTTCAAATCGCTGAAAGTCCCGTACGCAACGAAGATGAAGGAGTTGGCGAGGCATGCGATGACCCAGATGGCGCAGATGAGGCAGACGATGATGGGGCGCGTGCGAAAGCGAGATGTTTTGAGGTTGTGGACGATGGTCAGGTAGCGAACGACTGTCACCAGGACAAGGGTGTAGACTGTCACGTAGGCTGTCACGTTTACCAGGTAGTGCATGAGTTTGCAGGCCACAGTGCCGAAGTGCCATCTGTCGAAGAGTGAGAGTGAAGGATAGAGTGAAGGAAAGAGTGAAGGAGGGAATGAATGAACCAATGAATGTAGAAATGAATGAATGGATTGATTGTTAATGAACAAATGATGAAACGAATGGGAAAAGTTAGATTAATTAAATGATTGAAAAATCCAGCTTTATTAAATCAACGTATCGAGACCATCATCATCATTATCATCATCAACATCATCGTCATCATCATTATTATTGTCATTATTATTAGTAGTAGTGATAGTAGTAATAGTAGCAGTAGTAGTAGTAGTAGTAGCAGCCCAGCAAAAAAGCAGCAGTAGTAGTAGTATTTTTATTACTACATCGTGAACTGTGAGACGAGGAAATTATTTTGAGTTGAAGGCGCGAGAATTTAACATAAGGTTGGGCGGATGTATGAGTGAATAAAGAAATAAAGAATAAATGAACGAACAATTGAACAAATAGGGGAACAAACGAACAAACAAATGAACGAACGAACGAAAGAACAAATGAACGAACGTAGAAGGGAATGAATAATAAAAATAGACAGATAGATAATACAAGTGAGACAATTAGATGAAGGGATGAATAAATAATTGATGGAATGAAAGACAGAGTTAGAAAGGCACATAGAAAATTCAATAACAATAGATAAGTAGATATAAAGTTAGATGGATTGATCGATGGATGGATAGATATGTAGATCGACAGATAGTTAAAGAAACAGATAACTGAATGAATGAACAAACGAGCAAACGAACAAACAAACGAACGAACAAACGAACGAGCAAATGAATGAATGAATGACTGAATGATTGATGGATGGAATATCGAATGACAAAATTCTGCGTCTTGAGAATAAACATGGAGTAGGACCCATTACGTCTCGATGCAGACCATTTAACAACTTTCTGAGTAGCCTTGTTTATATTTATTTTTCAATTCTTCCAACTTAGGCATATTTTTAACTTTTCTCTTCTATTCTCTTGTGACAGATTTGCTTTTTCTTTTGTCAAGGTAAAATTTATTAAATATTCATTTTCTGCGTCACAGCCAATATATTTGAGTTCTTCAAACTGAAGAAATTTATTAAGATATCTTTCTTAATTTTCTGTTCGTATATTCATTCTCTTTTTCACTCGTTCACTCAATTGCTAGTTTGTATATTCATTTACTTATTCATTCACTCATTCATTCATTCACTCATTCATTCATTCACTCATTCATTCAATCATTCATTCACTCACTCATTCAATCATTCATTCTTGTCCTTAGTTTCATTAGCCCTAAGACGTGCTCCAGTGCTTATACACGTTCAAAACGATGTTGACGCTACTTTTACTACCGCTACTACTGCTGCTGCTTCTACTACTACTACTACTACGCTGTTGATTATAATATTGACAAAGATGACAATGGTAATGATGACGATGAAGATAAACACGGGATTGAAATAAGGGATATGCTGCTTAATGAAAAGGCAGGTTCTCTCTAAAACTAATTATGTAGTGTTGTAAAGTGGAATGATAATAATCAGGATGGCGTCATTTATGATGATGATCATGATGATAATGATGAAGATGATGATGAGATGATGATGTTGTTGATGATGAAGATGATGTTGATGATGATGATGAAGATGATAGATAGCTAGATAAAATAATAATAATTTAATAATTGACTGATTTGAAAACAAAAAAACGTCATCGTAATGATATAAATCATCATCGCACAATCATCATCCTCCTCATCATCATCATCCCCATCATCATCAGCAGCAGCAGCAGCAGCTTCACTAACGTTTCAAACGCAAATATGTAAGCTGTAGATGGCGGTATAACGAAGACGAATGATAGGTCAGCCACGGCCAAATTCAACAGCAACAAGTTTATAACCGTACGCATGCGTTCTTTAGTCACTATGACGTAGATAACCAAACCATTTCCGACTAAACCGAGACACGTGATTAGGCCAAACGTTATTGGCTGGACAATTTTCATAAAGATTACTATCATTAAACTGTTTCCGGTTACATCTTGGTGAAGTGATGGTGATGATGACGATGGTGATGACGACGATGATGATGGTGATAGTAGTGATGACGGGTTGATATTCTTGTAAGGATGATTGCTGTTGGTGTTATTGTTGTTGGTGTTGCTGAAGTTGACCAAGCCATGGATGACGTTATCATTGTTGTTGTCGTTGTTGTTGTTGTTGTTGTCGAAAAGTGAATCTAAATAATAAATGGAAGGTGGGTTGCCATATAGTGAAGTTGTCGTTTTTCCAAACATGTTTGTTGTTGATGTCAATTTTGTTTATGAAGGGTTTGTTGTTGTGGTTGTTGTTGTGGTTGTTGTTGTAGTTGTTGTAGTTGTAGTTGTTGTAGTTGTTGTTGTTGCTGCTGTTGTTGTGGTTGTTGTTGTTGTTCTTTTTGATTTTTCCC